GATAGGATATATTTCAAATCGATTCCATACAGTTCAGTAAAAAATAATGGCAAAATCATGGCCGTGACACTAAAAATCTTACAGTGAAAATGTCAAATGTGTCGCCTAAAGTAAACTCTAAACAAACAACAAAACTGTAGCACTGTAACAAAATAATTTAGTAAAATATACCAAAAAATACCAATATTTCGATATTTTTGCACACCTAACGTCTCCGTAGAGATGTTACTGCTTTGCCTGGAATGTTCCAGTCCCAGTAGATTGATCCAAAACCAGTGATTTGTCCCAGTTTTATACAACAAATGTCCCTAGTGTCCCTGCTTTTGACCAATTTGTTACCCGCTGACACAAAAGAAGGGGATATATTGTCATTTCTTTGTCAAAATAAAGAAAAACTTGCTTGAAAATGACCTGAACACACACAAAAAAAATCTCGACTGAAGTCTATCAAACAGAGAGTGTGAGAGCTGAACGCACCACACTCTGGAGAAGTTTGGAGTTTTATCTATGACGCAACTAAACAGGCAAAATTTAAACGGGGCATTTTTGAGACTCAAAGCAAAAGCAAAACACAGTCCAGATTTGTTTTTGACGAAGGAAACCTTAGAACCTGGTTAAAAGGTTAAAATGAAAGTCAAAATTTGCATCATATGTGTTCTTGAAATCTCTTTAAATCTCTCTCCGGACTGTGAATCGTTGAGGTCATTCAGATATCCAGGTTATTTGAGGCAGACTTTATTTTTTTCTATACAGCACTTGATTGGCTTGCGAGCGACCTATGTTAGCTTTAGTTTCAGCTATAGCAACATCGAAATGGCCGAATGTAGCTTGTTGATGCCAGTGATCGAACATTATGCACTTTTGGTTAAAATCTTTGGCCCATACAATCCTATTTATTTTACAGTTTCAATGCAAATTTACGTCTAAAATTTAAATTATTTTCTTCTGAGCTGGAAAATTCAAGTTTGGTGATTATTTATGAATTAATAAAAGGTGTATTATGTAATTTTTCCAATGGATGCACTGCCACCTGTTTGTCTCCATGGCGATATTGAATTGCCTGGAATGTTCCATAATATGGCATTAAATTTATCCCTTCAACATTTATTCAGTTACAGATGTACTCGTACGACCTGCGATCTTGCTGTGAGCTGTCGGTCTCCATGGAGATAGATAGGTTTAATGCCATACTGTGAAAAATTACAGCCAAAACCCTCACATCTCCACAGAGACACCAGAAAAGTTACATACTGCATCTTTAAAGTCATGTTCAGCTAATACATGTGTCACGAATTTCGGACTTCCTGTCATTGCGCAATGCATACTAGGAATAATTTTCCGAAAAAGTGAGCATCAAACCGCCATGTTGGATCCTAACAGCGGAAAACGGCTCGAGAAATGGGCTTCGGAAGTTTGTGAACTCCATAAATGCAGAAGGGAATCAGATGTGTGTGACTGCAAACCTCCGTTCAAACTGTTCTCTGCTGTTAGGATCCAACAACCACACAATTACAATGTCTGAATCCCAAAACTAAAATATGACAATATCAGAACCAGAAACAAAAGTGATATGGTTCAAAAGACTAGAAAAGACTGGCTTTGTCAACAGACTCATCCCACTGGGAAAACAAACTTGGTGGTTTGATGCTCACTTTTTCGGAAAATCCTTCCCAATATGCAATTGTTCAATGACCGGAAGTTTGAAATTCTTGATGCATCTATTAAAACTCACTCTCATTGACCAGTTCATTTCTACATTAAATTCAGATTATTCCAGCTCTTCTTTGGATTTTTTTTTTTTTCTTTTTCTTTCTTTTTCACATTTCAAATCACAGAATCTGAAGAAGCCACTCCCCTCTGTGCTTTTTTTTTTTTTTTTCGGGCCGATGTAGCATGAGAGAAATACGGAACTTTTCCTCTGCCGACACTGTTTCTGCCGTGTGCCCTTTGATGCATGGTTGTCATGACGACTGCATCAGTTTCAGTTTGGAAAAGCATGTTTTGATCCCACTGCGATGGAATTTACACAAAAACGTTTCGATTTTGATTTCTTCTCAGACTAAATTTAAAGATGAGATGTCGATATTCCTGCATTTAAATCTAGTTAAAGGTGCACTAGGGAATTTTTCTGGTTGGAGGGACTGTTACTGATGTTACTGATTTGGCTAAGATGTTCCGCAGTCTGGCATTAAACACATGTATCTGTCTTTTTATCTATCTAGCTATCCATCTATCTATGATTCCACAACTCAAGTTACAGGTCAGATCTGTGGAGAGGCGAATCCACTCACAGTCAGAGTTGTAGCAGTTTGAGTTTAATGACTGCTTAAAATGTTCCACCATGAAGCATTAACTTATATATTTTGCATTTATTCACTTGAAGGTGTTTTTATTCCTCAAAAATACCTTGAAAAATACTGCATCCTTACTGTGAGTGGGATCGCCTCTCCTCAGATCTGACCTGTAACTTGGCCAGATAGCGTAACCTGCTTGTCTCCATGGAAATAGTCAAGTTTAATGCCATACTGTGGAATATTTCAAAGCAACCGCCCCGTTCCTCCACCAGAAAAGTAACACGGCACACTTTTTTAAAAACTACAATTTCTGCTTTTATTAACATTTTTGTTTTATTTTACTGCTATGAAAGAATGTTTTAAATGATCTTGTAGCAAAATTCCAAACGTTTTTAATTCCCAAAGACTTTTTATTCACCAGCGTTTTATTCTCCGTGGCGCCCCCTGTTGGTCTCTTTGTGCACACTTTTTTTTTTTTTTTTTTCTTTTAAACCAGTCGCTGCTTCAGTCTCATGTAAATACTATAAACATCACAACCAAATCATACTCATTACTTTTTCATATTTACAATGCAGTACAGTAGTTTAGGGTTCGGGGGCGGGCTTTAAGGTCAGGAGCGGCTGTGATTGGTCGACGATGCCAAATGTTTTTTGATTGACATGTCTGACCCCTCCTCCTCTGTGTAAATGTGTGTATTTATTTGGAGCGTTCTGAGACGAAAATGTTACGATTCAATTCAAAATCTTTGTATTTTCAGTCAAATTTTTGTTTATTCCGGGTTTGTTTTTCTCTTTTTTGGAAGAAATAAAGTCATTTTCCATTCCTAAATCCTGTGCAGTTTGGAGTGTTTTAGAATTTTGAAGAAATGTGCTCTTATTTAGAAATGAAGTAGTGACTCTTGTGAGGTTTAAGTCATGTTATAATGTTGCTTTCTCCTCAAAAACAGACCTGGAGTTGTGTTTTGTTTCATTCACACATGTTTGAGTAACACTTTATTATGAGTCTGTCTGCATCTCCAAAGCTCAAAATGTTCTGTTCCACCTTGTGATGTCATGAAGCTTGGTAGTTTTCAAGTTAACGTCTACATTTTACCTTTAGTTGAGTAGAGATTAAAATTCCAGGGCTGAAATTGTCCAAATGATTCTAGTGAAGGTGTATGGAGTTTAAAAACACACCCTGTATTACCACATGACATCATAAGGTGGAATAGAATGTTCTTGTTGTTGTTTGTTTGGGAGAAGAACTCAGACTAAATAAACAAGATTTGTGTGGAAAAACAACAAAAAACACACAACTTCAGGTCTGTTTGTGATGAGGAAACATTACGGGCCCTTTAAAAGAACTGTATGTATTCTGCGCTCTTACAGTCGACATGGTTCTCAAGGTGATGAATGTGAATCTGAATGGTCGCTACCTACTTATCTGCAGGTTCAGGCCCTGGTGACACGGGTTCAGTAGGCTCGATTCATGCTTACGTCACAAAATGATGAAAATCTGAAGTGTGGTTGTAATAGTTGGATGAAGAAAACTGGGACATTTGATCTTTTTTGCTACATTTTGTCAGACTTACTACGGCAAACAGAGCCCGCTGGAAGCTGTCATCGCATGTTTCCAAACATCTTCTTGGTTTGTGACGTAAGCATGAATGGAGCCCGTTGGGATTTTACCTTTTTTATAAGACTACAGACTATGCACATACAAGTCCTTTAAATATTACTGGCCTATAGAATGTTGTGATATTATCTGGAACCCAGTCTTTTTCAGATATCAGACAGAGAGTTCACACGTAAACAGTCCAAGAGCAGATTTCATCATTAAAGGGAGGGTCCACTCAGGGTCAGCTCAGGTCCTGTCATCACTGTCTCTATAGAACAGACAGGAGACACCTGCTGCCCCTGTCCATCCAGGACGTAAATGTGAAATCTAAGGCCAAGTTTATCATGTTGGAGATTGTTCATGTTAAACTTTTCAGAGATTATACGTCTGCACGTATATATAAATGGACATATGTTCTAGCCTCTTAGCATTTTGGCGGTAAATTACTTTGCAGCGCATAGACCTCGACACAGATCCATGAATCAAAACTGACGGCGACAAGGCGACGGCGGCAGTGCGCGATGAGTCGACGTGGAACTATACTTCACCCTTAACCCTATAAAGCCATTTGTGCCATTTGAGTTCTAAATGCATCAAAGAGAATTTTGTTTGGTCCTAAAATAAACACAGCTGGGTTCTATAAAATGGCCATAAAGGCCTAACGTATCAAATATGATACATTTTTTATTTCTAAAATAATAATATAAAATATAAAATATAATAATAAAAAATCTTTTTTTTTTTTTTTTTTTTACATTTTGTTCAAACGTCCAATAATGAGTTCAATATCAAAAAATCTGAATTTTCTGTCAATTATTTCACATGTCAGGCTTTAAAGGATTAAAATGTACTTGAGTAAATTACAGATACCTTTTTTTTTTTTTTTTTTACTTAAATGCAGTATTTTACCTCCACCTCTGTCACTGACGGCCTAAAATGAGTGACGTGTCTGGGCTCCGTCACTCTCTGACACCTCAGTGAAAGATAAGTCCTGACAGCTGAGAGAGGGAGGAGAGGAGAGGGAGAAAGAGGGAGGGAGGGGGGGGGGGTGCTATTTTTACCCCCATTCAGTGCACCCTCGCCTGGCCACATGCTCCCAAAAGTGTCCCGAAGCTGTGGATCCTTCTGGAGGTTTCTCTGATCAAACCACACACGTTTTAAAGAGCGGAGCGGCAGACATTTTAGGACAGTAGAAGAAGAAGCTACTACTACTTGTACCACTACTGCAAATACTACTAATACTACCTCAAAGTACAGGCCGAGATGGCTCTGCACTGCTACAACCGAGGCTGTGGAGAGAAGTTTGACCCACACAAGAACAAAGATGGTGAGTTAGAATGATTTTGTTTTTAATTTCAGATTTTAAATGTTTATTCAAGTCCAGTTTTTATATTACTGTTTGTGAAGTTA